CATAAAATTATACCTTTCAAATTTATTTATATTTTAAATATTGTGTCAAAAATTTATACATGGTAAAAATTAATAGACCAAATTAATTCAATCACCCGTACTGATTTAAGATACAAAAATTAATAAATAATTTGACAAATTACAGTAAATATTTGGTGTAATGATGAATGGAGTTCACGACTCAAAGGTAATCGTTGGGTGAGCTGTACTTTTTTTTTTTTGTTAATTAACGTAAGTAGCAGTTATTGTTGGAGTGGGGCTTGGCCTCCAGACTTTACGTGGGACAAGTTTTTGCTTCATACAACTCAAGCTGAAGATCTAGAAAACTTCAAAAGAGATGGAGAGACCCAACAATTGCCGGTATGGGGGGAAAGGGATAAGCTTGCTATGACACTACATAATTATTGGCATGTAATATTACCTTTTAATAGCAAATTTACAAGTAATGGTTATCTTCCTTTTATGTCGCCACNATAGACCGCGTACAATAACTGTCCTAGCTCTATTGTGAAAAGGAAGCAAATCAACTTCACAGTGATTGACAAGAAAAAAACTTAACAGTGACTGTACATACTTTGACTCGTGGTCAACCCAATAATTTAGTTCCAATTGGAAAAAGTGCAACGGTGCCTTTTTCATAAAATTATACCTTTCAAATTTATTTATATTTTAAATATTGTGTCAAAAATTTATACATGGTAAAAATTAATAGACCAAATTAATTCAATCACCCGTACTGATTTAAGATACAAAAATTAATAAATAATTTGACAAATTACAGTAAATATTTGGTGTAATGATGAATGGAGTTCACGACTCAAAGGTAATCGTTGGGTGAGCTGTACTTTTTTTTTTTTGTTAATTAACGTAAGTAGCAGTTATTGTTGGAGTGGGGCTTGGCCTCCAGACTTTACGTGGGACAAGTTTTTGCTTCATACAACTCAAGCTGAAGATCTAGAAAACTTTAAAAGAGATGGAGAGACCCAACAATTGCCGGTATGGGGGGAAAGGGATAAGCTTGCTATGACACTACATAATTATTGGCATGTAATATTACCTTTTAATAGCAAATTTACAAGTAATGGTTATCTTCCTTTTATGTCGCCACATACTTTTTCTTCAATCCAACTCATGGTAATTTTCTTATGTTTGGGTTTTACAATTCGATCTTAGGAAAATCACCCATTAAATTGAAAATTAAGAAACGCTATTAGAACTAAAAAAATTAACTAAATTTATTTACATAATAATGCGACAATGACATGGTACAATAGTATTTATTATTGATAGCGTTAGAAAATAGAGGTATGAGAATAAAAAAGATGTAAAGGGATTCGAAGATAGACAAATGTGTGTATAAGGGGATAGTTTAGCAGATTTGGATTTGAATAACTCTTTTTTGTCATTGGAAAGTGATAATCTAATCTTATGAGAATAAAATAACTCCGAGAGCTAAGTGGTTCACCAAGTTAAACAGTTTGATTAGTCCATTTTAATGGAGTCTCTTGCTCACTAATTTTATTACTTTGAAAAGAAGATTGGTGCAAAGAGATTCTATATCTTTTCATAGGGTATCTTTTTTTTCTATTTATACAGGGATTAATATTTGTCTTTATTTAAGATTATGTGGCCACCCATTCTGTTAGAATCATTTGGGGAATATTTTGCCTTTAGAGAATTTTTGATATTGTTCTACGTGTCCTTGTAGAAATGGCGAGGTGTCTTATTTGACGCAATATCTTTAAGCTCAAGGTAGGGATGGTTTGCTGGGCAATCTTCTTCTCCCCTGTAACACATATTCGAGCTTTTGAGGTTGTGGTTGAGCTGATTACAGGGCCAGCTAATTAAATACATTCTCTCTTCATTTGTTGTCAATCCAGCCACTCTACATAATTAGGGCATATATAAAATAGATTTACATAAATAAATCTTGTCTGTATATCTCTCTCTCTCTCTCTCTCACACACACACACACATGTTCTCTCAATCTTTCTCATTCATGTGATTTTAAGTTCATAACGCATTGAAAAATAAACATAGTCATAAAATAGCATAAACTATTTTTCTTTATTGAAAAAATGATAATAACTATTTTTCTTCAATGTCGAGTTGCGATAGATAGAGCTTAACCCTAGTTCACGGTATCATCAATTGTGATTATAACTTTTTCATTGAGATTCTATCATTTAATACGTTATTATGTTAATAAATTAAATTAATTTTTAAGAAATAATATTATGGAGACCTGAAAAATTAATCTAATGATGTGACAGTAACATAATATAGTAGTGATACTACATTTGTAACTGTGGAATTTCTCAACAGAGACTTTATTACTTTGCATGTCATTATTATGAGCCAAATTTTTAAATCTTAATAGCAAAACTCTACCAATAGCATTACACACCAACGGACTGGTCTAGCTGTGAGGAGGCCTATTGGCCTATTCGTTACATTGTCGACTACGGAGAGGATTCTATACATCGGTATACGTTACGCTTTATATTATGGCAGTAATTGAAGTAACACTACTCCGTTTAGTACAATGAAAAAATGGGAGGATAAAAAGTTGAAAGGATGAAAAGTTTGAGAGATAAATAAAACATCACGTTTGGTAAGGAAGGAAAGTAGGAAGGATGAAAAAATGGATGAATTAATTTTTTTTTCACCTCACCAAAATTAATTCCTCTAAAATCGAAAGGAAAGTGAATGAAAAATTAATTATTTATGTTGATATATATCTTATCTATATAATAAAATAAGAGTGTATTTGAATTTTATCTCAATCACATTTTTTTTCTCAAAACCATCACCAATCATTTACCTCACCCATAATCTCTTTGTCAAAATTAAACGTAAAATCACATCACTCATTTCTATCACATATTTAATCATTTATATATTTCCTTCTTAAAAATATTACACCACTCATTTCTATCATATATTTAATCATTTAATATTTAATTAATTTGTAGTTAATATATTTTAAAAAAATTTAATATAGTGGGATCGATTTTTTGGATGTTCGAATTTTATATTTTATCGTGTTTTCAGGCATGGGTTATGACTAGTTTGTCTATATATCTTATGTATACATTAATTTCATATAAAAATACAATAATAAAATATGAATATATGTTAAAAAAATTAATTTTAAAAAAATAAAAAAATAAAGAAAATTTTAAAAAAAATTAAGCTAAAAAAAAATATTTTTTCCATCTTAACTAAGGGTGAAAATTTTGGATTCAACACGATGACACGACTCGAACTCGATACGAAAATAAATAAGTCAACTCGTAACTCGACACTACACAATTAGTTAAATGAATTAAATTAAATTTGATTAATATTTGACACAAACTTGTAATGTCTCAACACAAATTTGACACGAAACGACTCGACTCTGTTGTCACCCCTAATCTTAACTAGCACAAAAAAAAATTTGTCATTTTTATTTTTTATTCATCCAATCAATCACAAATGAAGGAAAATGTAACCTTCATATTTTTCATTCTAGAAAAATAAAAATTGCATCCCTTATACTTTTTATCATTCTTTCTTTCCATCCTCCCGAACAGTGTGTTGAAACCCGGCCTAGCCCGATGGGTTGACCCGGTGAACCGGAGCCTGAGCCGGGCCGGTTTAGTTATTGGATCGTTTGAGCAAAGGAGCCGAACAAAACTAGCTGAATCGGCTGATTTTGTAACAAACCCTCTGAACCGGACGGTTTAAATCAAACCGGACGAGTTGCTTCAGATACTATAAATACTAGGTTTTGAAGTTATTTGAGCATTTTTTGCCCTAATCGTTTTGCTCCCAGCCACCACCCATCTCCTGTCTTCTGCGTCTCTCTCTTTCTTGTCTAAGGCAGTCGAAGCCACTATAAAACTCGAACTCGAAGCCACTGTAGAACTCGAAGCCGAAGCCACTGTTGAGCTCGAAACCGATCTCTCTCTTTCAGTGTAATTGTCGAGCTTGAAGCCTCTACCTTTCCTTCCTCATCTTGCTTCTCTTCCTCATCCTCATCATCAGAAATCTCCTTTTATGTTGTCTTCTCAATCCAAAGAGAAATTGGGTAACTGATGAACATAGAATGTTTCTTAATCAGATCTTTGAGCTTGCGCTCCTCAAGGTATTCAAGCTGCTCTTCTTTAAGGTAGAGGGTAATCTTAGTGCCTCTGCTCAGCAACTCACCAGATGTGTCTTTGGTTACAGTGAATGACCCACCAGCTTGGGACTCCCATAATTATACATCCCTCTCAATAGGTACATCTCTTTCTTGGTAATTTCTCTGCTATTTTAGTATTGATTGTATTGTAGATTAACTTGGTAAATTAGTTGATAAATACTTGATATTGAATATGAAATTAAGGGAATGAGTTTTGACTTAATTGTTACTAATTTATCTATTTGACATATGAAATTGGGATTAACTGGGTTTTGGCATATGACATATGAAATTGGGATTAATTGGGTTTTGACATATGAAATTGGGGTTTTAATTTGTTTGATTAAGAGTTAGGTGGAAGTGAAATCTTTATGTTTAATTGAGCATGGATTTTGGCTTAATTGTTACTGATTTATCTATTTGATTGAGAATTTATTTGGTGATTTTGAAATTTTTGTTTGATCTAAAATATATTATGCATACTATTTTTATAATTTTTGTAATTTTTGTAATTTTAAACATATTTATTATTAATAATAATATTTATTTATTATATTACCGGTTCGACTAATCACCTGACGGTTAAATCATTTTTGGGTCGACGTTCCGGACTGGATTTTAAAATATGCTCCCGAAGCCTGAGAGAGAGAGAGAGAGAATATAGTTGTCAGACAAAGAGACAAGCAAAAAGATTATGCAAGTTAGATTTTCTCTCCGTATCTCTGTTTTTTTGCCCTTCAGCCTCCCAAAAGTAGATTTCTCTCTCTCTGCATATATAAGTGTGTATATGTAATTATATATGCCCACAGTCACAGACCACATACTTAGGCAAATGGCGAGAACAGTGGAGAAGAGAGGGGAAGTTTTGGATCAAACGTCGGAGCTACATGTGCTAGCTGTCGATGACAGCCACTTGGATCGAAAGGTCATTGAGCGATTGTTGAAGATCTCGGCCTGTAAAGGTATGTTCTGATTAGTTGTTTTGATTGTAGCCTCTTTTTTTGAAATCGATTTGAATTTCGAACGTGTAGTGACGGCTGTTGAGAGTGGAAGGAGAGCTCTTCAGTATCTGGGTTTTGATGGAGAGAAGTCCTCGGCTGGGTTCAATGTAAGAATAGTAGTTATGGTTTATGTGTTTGGTTGCAAAGAAAGTATTGGACATATCAGAGAAAATCATATATTTTCAAGTCTTTGGTGTCATATTTTTCTGGAATAATGGAAGGAAATACACACTTGCAGATTGTAGTTGTGTACTTTCTTCTTCTTTTTCTGCACACATTCTCAGCAACCAAACATAAATTTATTATTATTTTTTTTGTTTGAAGTTTGAGATATCATGTTTTTCTTGAGGAGTGACAAAACATAGGCAGATAGATATATATATAGTCGTCTAGTTTCCTCTTCTTGTTGACAAATTTTCTCAGCAACCAAACAGAATATTTCATATTCCATTCATTTGGTTGGCTCTTGATGATTTTTCTTTATTGTTTTGGTTTGAATTGTTTTAGGGTTTGAAGGTGAATCTTATAATGACAGACTATTCTATGCCTGGGATGAGCGGATACGAATTGCTCAAGAAGATAAAGGTTCGATAAATGCCTATTCTTCCTCTGTTTTTTCCAAAGATTTTTTCTCAGTCTGTGCCAACAAAACTGGGGGAAAACCAAACACACAGGAAATAAGTATAGCTGTATAGGCATACAAAGGTGACATCGGGTTAATTAGAGTAATGCTAGACATACTTAAAACTTAGACTTATAAATCAGACTCGATGATGTGGCTGTTGATGTATACATGGAAATGCCGACATCGCATTTGCATGCCTATACTTATTTGCTGTGTGTATGAAATTTACCCAACTTAAAAGACTCTATTTGGTTTAACTAGTGTCCTAACAAGTGACAAACACGAGAATCTTCGTGCTGTAGAGAATGTATAGTTTGTGGAGAGAGTGATAGTATGTTTGAATTTTGAAAGCTAGCGCCTCTAACTTTCCATAGAAAGATTTAATAAGGTGTTTGATATATAGTTATAGATTTTCCTTCAATGGCTTCAAGTTTCTTCCCTGGTTACAACAGGTTTTTGAGGGTCCAAAATTCCATCTTAGTATTTTTCCAGTAGGACTTCCATGTTTGATTGTTTCCTATTTATATAAAAACACAAAATATAGAAGAATTATATATTTGAGATTCAAAATAGATCCATCAAGTTCCTTAGCTAAATTAGATTGGCAGTCAAAAATATTTATGCCGGAGATACTTTCCGAAAAATATTTATACTGTAGATGTTGTTAAATGTTACAGTTTTACCAATTCTTTCATTTTTCAAGCAGGGTTCATCAACATTGAAGGAAATACCAGTGGTGATCATGTCATCGGAGAACATCCTGACTCGCATTGATAGGTATCTCAGAGTTCTGCCTTGAGTTTCTCAATTTTGTGTTTTGGAACGGTATCATGGTGGTTTTTGAGAGAGATACTAAACAGCTCAAAATATATGCTATCTGGTATATAATTATTACTAATGTTATCGTAGATCATCTATGCAAACTCTATGTGGAATCTGATTATTGATGAATTTTCTCTTGCTAGTCTGTTTTACTAATCCAAATAAAGTGAATGATTGGTTCAATATGGAATGAAACTGGACATCAGCTTTCTGAATAACAGTTTATCACTGCCTGAATCCACTGAATGCTTTCACAAAGTACTTCGGATTTGATGAAATAGGTTGCACTACAATATAGAGGCCACTGGCACCCGGCTGTCTCTCCCAATCATCCGAACAAATATAATTTTATGGCCTTACATGGAGTATGAAGTTTATTTGATCCACATGGACACACAAGTGCACATGCAGACTTTCACAACAAATACATGTATAAATTTTTTTAATAACATGACATTCATTTACTTTTAAACACACTTCATAACATAAAATCTTTTATCTTGATAAAAGGTAAGAGTTTTCTGAACATCACACCAGCTATATAGCTAATTGCCAGTTTTTGTTCTTTTCAATTTTTCATCCATCACATGTATTGCAACTTGCAAGTATCCTTGTGTTCAATCTATATCGGGTTTATTGTTTCCACCTTGTAAAAATGGTTTGTGTCAAAACCTGCTTTGTTATGCCAACCTGCTAACAACATATTTTCTGAGTGATACTAGGTGTTTGGAGGAAGGGGCAGAGGAGTTTCTAGTGAAGCCAGTAAAGCTGTCAGACGTGAAGCGTCTGAAAAGTGTCATATTAAAGGGGGACGGAGAGGAAAATGGAGATATGAGAACCCAAAAAAGAAAGGTACGAGATGATTCATCATCATTGTCACCATCACCACCATGGCCCTTGTCTTCATCTTCATCATCTTTTGCTTGTGATTTTTCACCAAACCAAATGAAGTCCCCATCATCCTTGTCTATGCAATCTCCTTTAAAGCGGCCTAAATTACGTAATATATTTTGATCTACCATCGCGTCTTTTTTGAGTGACATGTTTTGGCGTTCCTGGCCCATACCTCGTGTTCTTTGTTAAAGAAAGAGAGTCCATTTTGTTTGTTTTGCATTTATACCCTATGAGTGTGTATGTTCACTTNATTTTTTTAATAACATGACATTCATTTACTTTTAAACACACTTCATAACATAAAATCTTTTATCTTGATAAAAGGTAAGAGTTTTCTGAACATCACACCAGCTATATAGCTAATTGCCAGNCTTTTTTTAATAACATGACATTCATTTACTTTTAAACACACTTCATAACATAAAATCTTTTAGCTTGATAAAAGGTAAGAGTTTTCTGAACATCACACCAGCTATATAGCTAATTGCCAGTTTTTGTTCTTTTCAATTTTTCATCCATCACATGTATTGCAACTTGCAAGTATCCTTGTGTTCAATCTATATCAGGTTTATTGTTTCCACCTTGTAAAAATGGTTTGTGTCAAAACCTGCTTTGTTATGCCAACCTGCTAACAACATATTTTCTGAGTGATACTAGGTGTTTGGAGGAAGGGGCAGAGGAGTTTCTAGTGAAGCCAGTAAAGCTGTCAGACGTGAAGCGTCTGAAAAGTGTCATATTAAAGGGGGAGGGAGAGGAAAATGGAGATATGAGAACCCAAAAAAGAAAGGTACGAGATGATTCATCATCATTGTCACCATCACCACCATGGCCCTTGTCTTCATCTTCATCATCTTTTGCTTGTGATTTTTCACCAAACCAAATGAAGTCCCCATCATCCTTGTCTATGCAATCTCCTTTAAAGCGGCCTAAATTACGTAATATATTTTGATCTACCATCGCGTCTTTTTTGAGTGACATGTTTTGGCGTTCCTGGCCCATACCTCGTGTTCTTTGTTAGAGAAAGAGAGTCCATTTTGTTTGTTTTGCATTTATACCCTATGAGTGTGTATGTTCACTTGAAGATGCCATTTCGGCACCCTAATGGTAGAGGTAAGGAAGATGAAAGGGAAAATCGAGGGATGATATTTCTTTCAATTTTTTTGTTTGTTAATTAATAGTGCAGGAGATGAGATTTTATCAAATTCAGAGTAACTCCCAACATATTAGAGGGGGTTATTATGCCTATATTCCTCATTTTTCGGTCTGATCTTTGGAATTGTCTCTTCTTCTTTGGGTTGTATAGTACCTTGATTTCTGCAACTCCTATACAGTGATATTATATGCTTTATGCTGGTTTCCTATACCTTGCAATGGGTGCATCTAAAGGTGAAATTCTAGCTTCCTCAACTGTTGTATTGTTGTTATGGCTTACTTCAACAAAAACGAAGGGAGAGAAAAAGTGCAAATCTACTAATTTGGATTGAGATTTTCTTTCCTTGCGGAAAAGAAAAGGCTTTGTATGAGGATTCATTGCCCCCCATGCCTGGCAAAAATCTTGTTTTAGCTTTAGACAACATGGGAATAAAAATGAAATTCCATTAGACAGATGAGCGGAATGCACCTATTTCTTTGAGTATTGGCTTACCTATGATTGATTGGCTTTGATCCTCGAGCGAGTCATGCAACATTGCCTGGGAGGAACTGATCATTCACTTCCTTTTTGAGTTTTCGATTCAAGGCCGTCCGTCCGGCTCCATTCGAGGTCTCCTGCGCATCTCCGGTAAGATACATGCTGGTGATGATAACCTTTTCCAGGATGAAGCGGAAGTAATAATGTCGGCTTGAGTTAGAATTCAATGTCCCAAAAACTTGAGGGTTTCTCCACAAAGTTTATTCACGGAGGGTGAGTTAGGACCTAAGATCAAGTTGAAAGGCATAGTCGATGGATAATAGGTGAATATTTTTGCATTACCCCTTTTTGGTCCCAAGGGACGGATGAGGCTATGTTAGCCGAAGGGTGGTTATTAGTCTGAGGACATAAAGTGACCCTGTTTTTGACCCTATTTTTTCAGGGTAAGAAAGAGTGGAGAAAATGTCTTGAGTCAATGTTTGAGTACCAAGCGCTACGGCGTTGAAATAACCCATTTTAGACTCTTGGGAAAAACTTGAACGACCTTCAACAAAAACGTACTTGTACTTGAAATCGATACTGGTGGGTAAGTAGATAATATGTAAAGGCGCGAGACAATTCTCTCTAAGGAACTCCGCAAAATAGTCCTGTAATTTTGGGAGAAGGGGATGCCTCCTCACAAAAGGTGTCACAGTATTTACAATATAGGTCTTCACAAAGTCGTAAGACTATGTATGGGGCTGACGCAATTGCATAATATCAGCATCTTCAAATAGGGCATTTGAGAGGTAGGTCTAAACTTCAGATTACTCCGGTTGAAGTAATGGTTTATTCTATTATGTCACTGATAAAAAAGAGAATGTATCTCTTTCACATCAAATGCAAGAGAAAACTACTTCTCGTACTGATATCCTTGTTGAAGATTGCTTTGCGATGGATGGATGATGGATTGATTTTGGAGAACTGGTGTGTAATTGCCATTCAGGTCAGGTGGTAATTAAGATTGTTGAATTTAGAGGAATTTTGGTAACTCGTTTAGTGTCTTAGGCTCTTAGCATTGAATATCGCATTCAAGTTTTTCGAGTTTCACCCTACGGACGTGTACTCGATCTTGGATCAACACTTGTTGATACTGGTTCCATTTCCTTGTACAAACTAGATTGGCATTTCACTAATAAGTTTTTGATTGAATCCCTTTAACATGTTTACTCGTGTGAGTTGAGCTGAACTGAATGACTAACTATTTCTAGTAGTATAATTAACTTGTAGCTATTTACTACAAAAATAACAAAATAAAGAAAAATATATAGATATGATATCAAAAAATTATTTTTAGTACTTCTGTTGGACCCTTTAGCAGGCACTACAATGTCTGGGTTGACACTAAGAAATTGAGGGGCCACTGACATACACTTACAAACAAGTAGAGACAGCAATACATGCAAATTGCATGCCTGGAGCCAGGTCCTTTTAATTCTTGGCTGACCATAAATGAGTGCACCTCCCAAGTTATCAAGAATTTATACAGCAATTACTGAGATAGTTGGCAATATTTATTTTCGATCAGTAATCCTAAACTGATCAAATTTTAGGATCAAATTTGAAGTCTAAATGACATGACAAAATATTATTTGAAGTTTTTATTGGGANCAGTAATCCTAAATTGATCAAATTTTAAGATCAAATTTGAAGTCTAAATGACATGACAAAATATTATTTGAAGTTTTTATTGGGACTCAAATGACATGATACCAAATAAAAAAGTCCAAGTCAACTGTTATGTAATTTGAGCTCCAAATTTAATTTCAAAATTTGGTCGGTATAGCATTACTCATTTTCGATTCCCATTCTCGTTGGCTCTTGGCTGAGTTGAAGGTTAAATCTCCATCAAATAAGTTTAGGGGCATGCACTTTTTCGCAGGGTGTTAATCGAGTCGGATTTTGCGAGTTTAAATTCGGCCGGTTAAAACTTGAGTTGAGCCTGAGTCCAAGTCGAACTTGAATAACTCAACTATTTTACATATAAATGAGTTGATCTTAAAAAATTGTTCGAATTTAACTCGTTAGTTTGTCTCGATTAACGTCCTTATTTTTTAGTATTGTATTTTTTTTTTTATCCAAAGAGAATATAACATGGGGTAAAATATTTTATTTTATAAAATTTTCACAATCAATGAATGTTAACAAATTAAACCACGATTTATAGTCCAACATCATTATTCAATAGGGTGCCCATTTTTTTTAATTCAACCTAATGTATTGGATAAGTTTACAAAACTTGGGAAAAAAAAAAAAGGCAATAGTGAATGGATTCATTTGGGATAAGCCGTAAAATTTGACGTTCTGGATTCGAATATTGACAATTCTTTGAGACCAGACTAAAATATATTTATCTCTCATAAATAATCTAATTCCGATGTGGATGACTTATTTTTGATTAAATCAAAGAAAAAATTTGTTGAGGTGAATATAAGTTAGTCCAAACATTTTGACCATTTAAAAAAATAAAATAAAATAAAAATAGGGTCATTATCTATCATATTTGAGCTTTTTAGGTGTATGATCATTTATGACTTTGTTTTTTTCTGTGAAATTGTTTGGTCCTGACAAGAAGAAAAGGCTGGCTAGCAGAACATTTAAAACCTGGGTGGATGGTCGGACTGAAAGAGGAGAGGCCACTTATTTGGTCACTTCCAATATCCCGAGACTCAAAATCTATCCTTTGTTAGATTCCGCCCCTATCCACCTCTGCACCCCTACCCCTCGAAACCACTCCACCTCAGCAGGCCAAAAACGATGATCAAAACAGTAACACANGAAACTTGGGAAAAAAAAAAAAGGCAATAGTGAATGGATTCATTTGGGATAAGCTGTAAAATTTGACGTTCTGGGTTCGAATATTGACAATTCTTTGAGACCAGACTAAAATATATTTATCTCTCATAAATAATCTAATTCCGATGTAGATGACTTATTTTTGATTAAATCAAAGAGAAAATTTGTTGAGGTGAATATAAGTTAGTCCAAACATCTTGACCATTTAAAAAAAATAAATAAAATAAAAATAGTGTCATTATCTATCATATTTGAGCTTTTTAGGTGTATGATCATTTATGACTTTGTTTTTTTCTGTGAAATTGTTTGGTCCTGACAAGAAGAAAAGGCTGGCTAGCAGAACATTTAAAACCTGGGTGGATGGTCGGACTGAAAGAGGAGAGGCCACTTATTTGGTCACTCACAATATCCCGAGACTCAAAATCTATCCTTTGTTAGATTCCGCCCCTATCCACCTCTGCACCCCTACCCCTCGAAACCACTCCACCTCAGCAGGCCAAAAACGATGATCAAAACAGTAACACATAGTTAAGAGTTTAGCACATGATTATGATTGTAAAGTCAAATTATCGTGGAAGAGAAACAGTAATGTTTTGTTTGGTAGGGAGGGTGAAAATTAGGAAGGATGCAGAGTAGGAGAAATATATTTTTTATCCTTCAAGAATGGAAAGTAGGAAGGATATACTTTCCTTTATTTGTATTTGGTTAGATAGATAAAAAATAAAAATAACTATTTTTTTTTTTTGTGCCGGTTAAGATTAGAGGTAACAATCGAGTCGTGTCGTATCAGATTCGTGTTAAGTCATTACGGGTTTGTGTCGAACGTTAGTCAAACTTAACTTAACTCATTTAACTAATTGTGTCGTGTTGAGTTGCGAGTTGACCTGTTTATTTTCGTATCGAATTCGAGTCGTGTCATCTTGTTGAGTCAAAAATTTTCACAATTAATTAAAATGGAAAAAATATTATTTTTTAATTTAAAATTTTATTTTTAATTTTAATTTTTTTACTTTTAAAATTTTTTTTAAATTTTTTTTAATATATATATATATATTTATATTTTACAATTATATTTTTATTTGAAATTAATATATACATAATATATAGACAAATAAAATACATTTCAACACAAATAATTAACTTTTCATTCATTTTCTTTCCGATTTTGGTGAGTTGGAAGTAAAGTTAATCCATCCACTTTTTCATTCTTCCTACTTTCTTTCCTTACCAAACATGATGTTTTATTTATCCCTCCAACTTTCCATCTTTCTAACTTTTTATTCTCTTACTTTTTTATTGTACCAAACGAAACATAAGAGTAAAATGGAAAGTTCTAAATTTAGAAATTTGGGNAATTTAAAACCTGGGTGGATGGTCGGACTGAAAGAGGAGAGGCCACTTATTTGGTCACTCACTTCCAATATCCCGAGACTCAAAATCTATCCTTTGTTAGATTCCGCCCCTATCCACCTCTGCACCCCTACCCCTCGAAACCACTCCACCTCAGCAGGCCAAAAACGATGATCAAAACAGTAACACATAGTTAAGAGTTTAGCACATGATTATGATTGTAAAGTCAAATTATCGTGGAAGAGAAACAGTAATGTTTTGTTTGGTAGGGAGGGTGAAAATTAGGACCGATTCAGAGTAGGAAGAATATACTTTTTATCCTTCAAGAATGGAAAGTAGGAAAGATATATTTTCCTTTCTTTGTATTTGGTTAGATAGATGAAAAATAAAAATAACTATTTTTTTTTTTGTGCCGGTTAAGATTAGAGGTAACAATCGAGTCGTGTCGTATCAGATTCGTGTTAAGTCATTACGGGTTTGTGTCGAACGTTAGTCAAACTTAACTTAACTCATTTAACTAATTGTGTCGTGTTGAGTTGCGAGTTGACCTGTTTATTTTTGTATCGAATTCGAGTCGTGTCATCTTGTTGAGTCAAAAATTTTCACAATTAATNAGGATGCAGAGTAGGAGAAATATATTTTTTATCCTTCAAGAATGGAAAGTAGGAAGGATATACTTTCCTTTATTTGTATTTGGTTAGATAGATAAAAAATAAAAATAACTATTTTTTTTTTTTGTGCCGGTTAAGATTAGAGGTAACAATCGAGTCGTGTCGTATCAGATTCGTGTTAAGTCATTACGGGTTTGTGTCGAACGTTAGTCAAACTTAACTTAACTCATTTAACTAATTGTGTCGTGTTGAGTTGCGAGTTGACCTGTTTATTTTTGTATCGAATTCGAGTCGTGTCATCTTGTTGAGTCAAAAATTTTCACAATTAATTAAAATGGAAAAAATATTCTTTTTTAATTTAAAATTTTATTTTTTTTATTTTAAAATTTATTTTAAATTTTTTTTAATATATATATATATATATATATATATATATATTTATATTTTACAATTGTATTTTTATTTGAAATTAATGTATACATAATATATAGACAAATAAAATACATTTCAACACAAATAATTAACTTTTCATTCATTTTCTTTCCGATTTTGGTGAGTTGGAAGTAAAGTTAATCCATCCACTTTTTCATTCTTCCTACTTTCTTTCCTTACCAAACATGATGTTTTATTTATCCCTCCATCTTTCTAACTTTTCATTCTCTTACTTTTTCATTGTACCAAACGAAACATAAGAGTAAAATGGAAAGTTCTAAATTTAGAAATTTGGGCTTTTATTTTCTTAATTTTTACTTCATTGTTAGAAGAATGAATCAGGTGTGGCCATGTATTCGAAACACCTAGCAAGATTAGAACTTAGGATTCTTCCTTATTTAGGGAGAGATATGTTATTATAAATATAAAGATGTGTATGCATGTAAGTACAAAATAAAAGTCATTGCCTAATTTAACACTCGAAGCGTAAAATGGTACGGACCTGTCTGATACTTTTATTAGTGCAAACTTAGGTTAATGTTAAGTGCAAACTAACACATATGTCGTCAGTTACAGTGGCACGTAGATACGGCAGAATTAAGCATGAAACCAACCGTCTGATTGATATATATATATATATATATATATTGAATATGGTTGAATTTACTAGTAAATCCCTTGACAATTTGGTTGCAGCCTTCAAGGTCCACTAATGTCATTTCACCAGATAAAGCCCGGGAAGAGTTAAACAAATAAAACCAACACCCAATAAAGTCCCTCTGAATCATTCAGCAACCAAACACCAAACAAGCACTGCCGGAATTCATTTCATTGCCCAAAAACACAATGGAATAGTATTTCAATTTAGTAACACTATCCATCAACACTGGTTTTGTTCAATAGGAATCTAGACTATTTGGTCCGCTTAATGAGTGGGTTGATAGGAATCCTACTAAACACGACTTATATACACGACATTAATCCCGTAACTACAAATGAGTTTGATGCAATTTAAATAAAATTTGACACCACATGACTCCAACCAGTACCCTACAGCAAAAGAAACCAGAGATTTTCTGTTTCCTTTCTCTGCAGGCTGCAGCTCTATCCAATGGTTCAGCCAGGGGTGCCTGTCTTGTTTGATCTTTTTCCTCATTCTTTTTCTGTTCTTCCTCTTCTTCAGTCAGATTCTCCACATACCCTTCATCTGATTATTAACCACTAAGCTCAAACAATTGAAATTGAAAACAGAATTCCAAACTCCAGAGAAAAAAAAATGCAAAAAGAGTCATCTCCATCACCTCCATCACAAGATCAAGCAATTTTCAAGGCCATTGCAGCCACATCTGCAGGAACTGTATTTGTCGCTGCGATCTTCTTCTATTTCTTTTACAGATTCGCCATGGCTCGACAGCGCCAGAGGAATGAATTCAGGTCAAGTTTTCGCCGGGAAGAAGAAGTGGTAACTCAACCTCCATTCCGGCAACAAGGCAGTACTCTGAGAAGAGTGGTTGTTGATGAGAATGTATTGGATGTTCTTTATCTAAGGAAGCTGGAAGATAGGCAACTCAGGAGCTGTTTCTCTAAGATTTGGTTTAATCCAATGGAAGAAGAAGAAGAAGAAGAGAGGGTTGATGGCAGAGGAGATAAACCCGAAAAATGGGGACCAATCCATGAAATTCCTTTACTTCATGATCAATCCTATACAGTTGATTTTGAGACACAAGCAAAAACAATCCCACCATTAAAAGCTCCACCACCCACGGCGGCAGAACTGCAGCAGCCAGGGCTGCCACCACCAGGGACTCAGCCTGCACTCCGGCAGCCTCCACTGGTTGTTCCACATACAGAGAAAACCCCAGTAAGACCACCACCACCACCTCCTCCTCCTCCTCCTCAATTGGCTACTCCAATAAAGCAAATCCCACCACCGTCTCCACCACCACCACCACCACCTCCTCCTCCTCCAACACCCACCCCTATTAAGGGCCTTACCAAACCACCAGTAAAAAGAAACCCTGCACCACCACCTAGGGTAGGTGGCTTAGCTTCATCATTGAAGCCCCCTGCTGCACTAAGAGGAAAAGAAATCAGCAATAACAGAACTGAGGCCTCAACTGAAGAAATCACCAGAGGGAATGGTGAAGTCCAATGGAAGATGAAGCCACTGCACTGGGACAAGGTTATGGCCAATGTTGACCATTCATTAGTCTGGAATGATATCAACGATGGTTCTTTCCGGTAAGTGGGACTTTAAATCCATACAAATTTGTCATTTTTTTTTCTATGCCTTCTCTTTCATCTCTCCAAAGATTGACATTCCTCTGCGACGCAATGATCTTTCATATTTGACTCATTGAATGTATTTATCAGATTTGATGACAACCTTTTAGAAGCTCTGTTCGGATACACTGGCAACAACCAGAAATCTGAAAAAAGTTATGCATTTTCAAGTTCAGGAAGTTCCAACTCAGCCCAGCCTGGTCAAATTTTCATTCTTGATCCTCGGAAGTCCCAAAACACGGCAATTGTTCTTAAATCTCTTGCAATCTCTCGCAAAGAAATCCTTGATGCCCTTTTAGATGGTCAAGGACTCAATGCTGATACTCTTGAAAAGCTAGCAAAAATTGGCCCAACCCAAGAGGAAGCAACCAAAATTCTTCAATTTAATGGAAATCCAACAAAACTAGCTGATGCAGAATCTTTCCTCTACCACATACTGAAAGCTGTTCCCTCGGCATTTATCCGAATCAATGCATTGCTTTTCAGATCAAATTACGACCCAGAAATACTGTATCTCAAGGAGTCTCTGCAAACCCTTGAATTAGGATGTAAAGAATTGAGAGCTCGTGGGATTTTCTTAAAACTTCTCGAAGCAACTCTTAAGGCAGGTAATCGGATGAATGCTGGAACTTCCAGAGGAAATGCACAAGGCTTCAACCTGAGTGCTCTTCCAAAACTTTCCAATGTTAAAAGCACAGATGGAAAGTCCACTCTACTTCAATTTGTCGTGGAACAAGTTGCTCGATCCGAAGGTAAACGTTGTGTGATCAATCGGAACCATAGCCTTGGCAGAAGCAATAATCAAGGCAGCAAAAACAGTGACCACAATTCAGATAGCCTGGTGTCCAATGAAGAGAGTGATAGAGAGTACCTCTTGCTTGGCTTACCAGTGTTAGAAGGCTTAAGTACCGAGTTCTCTAATGTAAAAAAAGCAGCCACCATAGACCACGATAGTTTCATAAATATGTGTTCTATTCTCACAGTCAGGGTCAATCAGATTAGGCAGCTTGTGGCACATTGTGGCAATGGTGAAAGAGGAGGATTTGTGACTGAAATGAAAGGGTTTCTAGAGGAATGTGAAGAAGAACTTAAGGTGGTGAGAGAGGAACAAACAAGGGTGATGGAGCTGGTAAAGAGAACAACAGAATATTATCAAGCAGGAGCTTTCAAGGACAAAGGGACACGCCCACTTCAGATTTTTGTCATTGTTAAGGATTTTCTGGACATGGTTGATCAAGTTTGTATTGACATCACAAGGAAGCTTCAGAAGAAGAATGTCACCGTTGTAGTGTCATCACCGCCGGCATCGCCACCAGTATCACCGTCGGGGAAGGCCTCAGTGAGGTTCCAGAACTTGCATTCGTATGTCTTGGCGGAAAAGTCTGGCACTTCATCTTTTAGTGAATCTGAGGATGGTTTCTGAAGAGGGTTTTTGTCATAGTTCTGTAGGAATATGATTGATGCAGAAAGACTAGAAGAGGAGGAACTGACTTCTTTTGTAAAGGGAACAAAGGAAATTTCAAATTCCTTAGAATTAATAGGTAAGTTTTTCTAGTTTTTTTTTTTTAGCNGTTTTTGAGGTAATTTAATGCAACTAGAGCTAATGTATTCCAGAAAGCCCATATAAATATGCTTTCTAATAATAGAACACAGATTATAAGTATAGATAGATTGTTCATTGTTGTTCTTAGAATTTTACCCTCTAATATAATTCAACAATTCATGCTTGCATCACTTGGGCTCCTCTGTCTTTGTATACATCTTGCATTCATGCAGATAGAAAATCAACAGATATTTTAACATTGCATTACGCATCATTATTAATACAATTTACTAATACTAAGACTCATGGCACACACCATGCGTTTGCAATACCTATTGAAAGCTTAATTGTTCCCAATTTTGGTTCAGGCAAGATGTTTCTGTAATAGTACACAAAACATGAGGGTTTTGCAGCGATTACTTAATATCAGCAGCTTTCTAGTCCAGAGGATAAACACACAATTTAGGTGTTTCTTGTCATTCCTAAAANAGAATGTTGTCTAGGCATAAAATGTGGTCTAAATTTGTCTGTTCATCCTTCTCAAAACAGAAAACAATGTGATGACTGTGAACTTAAGTAACATATAAGATATAACTGTTTCACCATGTCTGCTGATTGCTGAATGTAGACAGTAGGGTCTAGTAGGAATAAGAAAGTGATCATGGCAGCTCACTCTAACACTGGACCGACAACCTATGACCACAGAATCCTAACTCCCACCAGGTCACATTCTATACTCTAAGCCGATCCATAGTATCAAATGACATGAACTCATGAGTAGAACTTATGTTGAAAATCAGCTTTCAAGGGAAAGGATTGTCCATATATGCATAGCCAAGCTCCTTCTTGATTGATGTGGGACACTTAAAGATCAAAACAGGAAGTGTACCTGGGGTTGCTTCTGAACAATTAATCATCTTCCATAAGATCAATATAACTTGGTTTTTGAAACTATATATTGCAATAATTCAAGTGAAAGCTTCATTAGTCAAAGTTCAACATTCAGATTTGGGACAAGCAGATGAACTGAAAGCTGAGAAACTCAAGATCAATTAGTACTGTGAGATGCAAAAGGCACATCAAATGTATGCAAGATGTAATGAGATGACACTTCAAAAGAAAAAATACCATTTAAATGCTGAAGTGATTGGCTTGGCCATTGAGGGCCTGTCTGAGAGCACAGTTTTTATTTAGATGGAGTACATGAAAGAGGACATGGAGAATAAAATGACACTTAGAAGGTTGGATCCTATACCTCATAAAGGAATGAAGTGGGACCCAATTTCTCTTTTCAAGGAAGCAATAGTGGCCTTGATTGAATCTCATTTTGTTTAGTAATCGGTTTCATTATCATAATAACGTGACAGATTTAATCCATGAAATAATTATTGAGATGCTATATTATTATGAGATCCATGCCACCCAAGAGCAAAATGGGAGATTTTTATCATTTATCCCTGAAAAGTGAAAACAGAAGAAAAAAATCCTTCCAAGCCAATGGTTCCTAGTCAACTATAGCACCTTAATATTCTAATACCAGGAGCAGAAGATCAGCTTGAGCTGTTCAAGCCCCAAAGCCATACCATCGAAAGTAGAAGCAATTTCCTGGAAATTCTCAAATTGTCTTTCATCCTCATACTCTCCAATCCCTTTGTAGTCCAAGTCAAGCAGGACCCAAAGTCCACGAATGTTGAATCACAAAAAAGCCTCCAAACCCACCTCTATGATTCATACCACAACATGATTATAAACCAACCTCAGCAAGGGCATCCCAGTAATTCACCCTGAATCAATCCCTCCCCTTAACTTCCCCAGAAAACAAAGAACAGAGAGCTAACAAAACACATAGTCTAAGCAGCTGCATAGTGCAAAGGAACCAGAAGAGAGAGAAGATGGAGGGAGGGAGGCTTGAAGACAACATTGGGGTGAGAGAAGAACTCATCAAGAAAGCTTGTAATTTGGCTATGAAAGCCCACAAATCTGCGGGCAAGCCTTACCTGTTTGAGAAAAGTCGCAGCCCAACTGAAGCTATTTTTGGGTTTGCTGGATCATGGTCTGTGGGTGATTGGTTTAGTCAAAAGCCTTTCGGAGAAGTACAAATCGATCGTGAAATTTTTCCATCTGTGAGAAGTATTGGAACCGATGAAGTTGGGTTGGTGAATAAAGCGTTCTATGACAGATTTGAAGAAATTAGAACAAAATCGTCGCTTGAAAATGAGGTACCCTGTTCAATTCGATTACTCTTTAGTACCTGTCATTTTGTTCTATTGTTATGGATAGTCCCTTGATTGCCTCGATTGTACACTTACCACATAGCCAACTTTGATACAGAAATCGTGTTATATTTTTTTTGGTAACTGTCTGGGATTGTCCGGGTCGGTTTTTACCCACCTCCATTAATTTCTGATTCAGGCAAGATAGGCTAATCATATCGGGACTAAGGTATTAACGGGGGAGGAATGACCCCAATGAGTTATCGTCGAGATTCAAACTCAATGCATTTAAATTTATAACTTATCTTTGTTATCACTTGAATTACCGCCGTTGAGGGAGGGGGAGTTCAATCTGACCCCAAATCAAAATAATTAGTACTTTGTAGAGTTTTTCGGTACATAAATTGTCTTGTGGGCTTGGGCAAAAAATTACTTATGTTCCTACTTAAGTCTAAGTTTTTGGTATCCGACCTGAGTTTAGTAAATTCAAGCTCAACCTCATATTCAAGTCCCTCGAGTTTTTGTAATCCTAGAATTGAACCTAATTTTCAAGTAAGATTAGAACACAAATATCAGCCCCGGTCATGTTATCCGTATTCTAAAATTTAAACATGAACAAAATTTAATCTAGGGTTTTACAACTTAGGCCGAGTCTAGGTTGTCAGTCAATTAGCCTGATCTGCCTGAGTTTCATTTAGGGGTGTTAATCAAGACGAGTTACTCGAGTTTATCTTGAATAGCACTCGGCTCGAGCCTAATTAGTATTCTAAATGAGCTGAGTTTGAATAATTTTTTAAGCTCGTTAAGGTTTGATTTGTGGTTATAAAGCTCGGCTCGTTTATATGTAAAATAATCGGCCTACTCGGACATGGCTCGGGTTCTGGCCCCACTTGGACTTTACTCATTTTCTAAATAAACGAAGATTAAATAATTTTTTAAGCTCATTCTTATGCTTAAGCTCACAAAACTTTGCTCGATTAACACCCCCTAGTTTCACCCCTAGCTTCACTCCATACTGTTAGCCTGTTTTTTACTCATGCTGACTTGGAGGTAACAAAATATTGAGACCTGTAATTAGCTTGATTTAAAATAAAAAAACAAACAATATCCTTTGTTGTTTGAACGTCAGATAACTTTCCAGCCATTCACAGTGAAATAGCTTACATTGGTTATACTGGATTGATGAAAAATGAACATAATGCCTGTATTTGAAATGGATTTCAAGGTGGACAAGGCAGTTTCAGAGAAAAGGCAGATAGTGTTTGCAGGGCACTCCTCAGGTGGAGCAATAGCCATCCTTGCAGCCCTCTGGTTCCTAGAGAAGTACATCAGACCTAATGCCAACAACATCCCTCCTAAATGTGTGACATTTGGTTCCCCACTTGCTGGTGATAGGATTTTCCCCCATGCTCTCAGGCGTGAGAATTGGGCTCGCCACTTCATTCATTTCATCATGAGGTATGACATTGTCCCACGAATAATGCTCGCCCCACTCTCGTCCATTGAACAAGAATTACAACCGATTCTTGATCTCTTCAAACCGAGATCCTCCTCACCCTTTGATCATGAATTCAATAGCAAAATCAATGTAGCTTCAGCTTTCTTTGTGACTGTCATGAGAAATGCATCAGCAATTTCAAGCCATGCTGCTTGTAATCTCATGGGCACCACCAATTTACTCTTGGAAACTGTTTCGAGCTTTGTTGAACTAAGCCCTTACAGACCCTTTGGCACCTATGTTTTCTGCACTGGCAATGGAAAATTGGTGGTTGTTAGAAACCCAGATGCTGTACTTCAATTGTTGTTCTACAGTGCTCAGTTAAACTCTCAAACAGAAGGCGCAGATGTTCTTCATAAAAGCTTCAAGGACCATTTGATTTATGAAGATGAATTGAAGGAAAGCTTGGATATGCAGGATGTGGTTTATCTAGAGCAGCTGGAAGACCTTCCATTGTCTTCGGATGGCAGTGCATCCGTTGATGTGGCCACAACAAACACAGCTTTGAAGGATCTCGGCCTGGTGAGTTTTAATCCTTCCTCCCCTCTATTTCAAACTTTTAGATTTCAGTTCAAAACTCTGCTAATTCTGAATATGCAAACATTTTAAAGATTTTGCATAGCAAAAAGGCTTCAAATATATGTAAATAATAAATAAATAGGAGCATATAGGCCTTCTTTTAGTAGCGAATCTGGAATAGGTCATTCGGAAATTAGAAAGTCTCTCATATCCATTATATCTGTTATCTCTATATCTGTCAGAAAGGGGCCAACCAGTCCTGTTGTCTCTATGGGTCTAAGTGCCCATGGGATAGAGAGCGTACGAAGTTGAACATAACACTAATATATTGCAAAAACTTGATGATGTTCACCAGCCTTGCTAATTTACTAGTCTTGAAATTCCAGAGCACGAGAGCCAGATTGTGTCTTCGCGCTGCAGGAGAGATGGAGAAACAAAAGCTGAAAAACCAGGCTAAGATTAATTCTAACAAGGACAACATTGAGAAAGGACTAAAAATGATACAGGACTACCAAACAGAGTGTGAAGTCCGCAAGGTTGGTTATTATGATGCTTTCAAGCTTCAGAAATATGAAAACGATTTCTTCGCCAATGTGAAGAGGGTCGAGTTAGTAGGCATATGGGATGAGATCATTGAAATGTTAAAAAGGTATGAACTTCCGGATGGATTTGAGGGCCAGAAGGACTGGATAGAGCTAGGAACCAGGTTTCGACGACTTCTTGAGCCTCTAGACATTGCCAACTACTATAGACACTTGAAGAATGAGGACACTGGCCCTTACATGATAAGGGCTAGGCCAAAACGGTATAGATTCACGCAAAGATGGCGAGAACACGCAGAAAGGATGGCAGTTGGATCAAGCTTTGAGTCCTGTTTCTTGGCTGATGTGGAGGAGCTAAGAACAAATCCATTTGAAAAGGTGAAGGAGAAAATTATGAGCCTCGATAATCAAGTATACAAATGGGTTTGTGATGGGGTTCTAGGCAAAGATGTTTTCTTGGATGAATCTACCTTCACAAAGTGGTGGAAAACCCTTCCTCCCCAGCATAGATCAGCATCCTGCATTTCAAACTATATCAACAGTTAAGGAAAAGAGGGCAGGCCTTGACAAAACGGTAACTGCCTCTCTGCTTGTTGGGTAAGGTTGCGTACATCTAACCTTCTTCAGACCCGCAATGGTAGGAGTCTTGTGCATTGAGTACGCCTTTTTACCAACAGTTAAGGAAAGTTTTCCATACTTTGGCCTTAAAGTGAACTGCTAGAGAATATTACACAGATTATGCCAACGGTGAAGCTCAAGGTCTGATTCCCTCTTCATCAGCAGCTTTTGGTCATGTAAAATTTGCTACCATGTTTTGATGTAGCCTTGGGTTTAGTCTCTCCGTTACATTATCTTGTAGGTTTGGTTTTTGTTTGTTTGTGAAATGTGGTCTTTTCACTGGCTTGTTTCTTCCTTCAGTGTTTTTTTTTTCTTCTTTGTGAGTCTTGCTTTATATGTTTTCTACGTGAAATAAAAGTCCTGTTTGATTTGCGTATTAAAAAATAGTATTCAAAAATTATTTTTGGGAAGAGTTTTAAAAAAATATGTTTTGGTGTTTTTTGTGTTACATAATTTGTTTAGTTATATGATTTTAAAAAACAAATTTATGAAATAAAAAAAAGTAAAATCTATTTGGATAATAAATCAAAAAACAATGAAAAGAGAAATGTGGTGGTGGTGAGATACAAACCAAAAAAACAGATTGTGAAATACAAACCAAGCAGCCCAAAGTTTTTTTTTTTTTCGGACATAGGACACTCCAACAGTAACGGGGTCTCATGCCCTAGGCCAACCTTTTCAACTAAAACATTAAAAAGTCGTAGTAGCTTTCCTGTCAATTTTCAGCATGGTTCTTAAATTTTGCAAAACAATCTTAGTAACTCTGACAACATAAACCATTACTCTTCGCCAAAAAGGCGGCATTATCTCCCAACAAGTACAACAAAATAAAATAAAATCAAAAGAATTTACTGGTCACACCCGAGCTTTACTGCAAATTTTGGTTGTGCAGTCTCCTTCATGCTTTCCAGATTCTGAAGCTCTTGGGAGACTTGCAATGCCTCATTTACAAATCATGATCACTTGAGTAGTTATCAAACAACTTTGTAATGATTAAGTGGTAGTTAATTTTGATGTTCAAGAAAATTGTGATTATAAAGTCACAACATTGAAAACTAAAATCCCTTTGGGTTCTCTCGTTTGTTGTTGGTGGATGTAAGGTTGTTAGTCTGAAAACCAAGTGTTCCACCCCCAGTGCTCTATCTACCTTTGTATTGCTGTCTCTATCTACCTTTGTATTGCTGTCGTATCCAACTCTCCATTTCAATATTATTCTATTCGCGTGTAAACCATGAATCTCATATGACTCATTCGCGTAAAGACGTCCCTGAGTTAATCCCATGAATCTCACATGACTCATTCGTCATTGAATTGAGTATGAATCTCTCGTCATGTTCTTCTTCTATCAACACATGTCCTGCTTATTGTCCAATACCATTCCACAAAGCAAAGACCAATCCGTCTCAGTGCCATCTGAGTTAATGTTGTCTAATACCACAACCTTAATCCATGGTTCTCCTAGCCAACTCCCAAGTCTATCGATGGACAAATAATTCATACACAAAAGGCTGCCAGGTATACCATATTCAAGGCAGCCATGTATAAAGGACATCTGAATTCTGAACCACACGTGAAGCAGCTATGATTCAGAGCAACTTAGCAGCTCAAACTCCTACCAGAATGCATATGAAGCAAAAATGTTCGACAATTGAAAAAAAGTTAAGAGCATAACAGACTATATAATATTTGAGCAAGTGATTTCCAAGAGCAGGTCTACCAACATGCCTAAATGCATGAAAAATAGCCAAACAAGGCTTTCGCCACCCTAGGCTCTTCTTCGAAGTGATCACTGTAGAGTCTTACTCTCAAGTACAACCACACCAAGATAGCACAAGCCAACTAGGCAACTTCAACTGATAAGTACATGATGGGAAACAAAATGAAGATTCAATAACATACTATTAAGCCAACAATCTACAAGAGAATTGACCACAAATAACATACTATCAAGACAATTATTTACAAGAGCAGTTAGCCTAGGGTAACTTCATAAAACTTCAAGACTCAAGACATCCCCCAGGGAACTATTGCCCAAGGACTAATCATCTCCAGGAAGTTTCTGATGCCTTGCTAGGTGGATTCATTTTACATCTCATGCACCAAACATTTACAAAGTGATTCAAGTCTTAAGCCATCAAAAACCAAATGGAACATTTATAGATATATCTTCATCTTAATTCAAGACTAAAATATTTATATCATCACCAAAGATGCATAATGAACAACACAGAAGATTTGACAAAATAANTTTTTTTTTTTTCGGACATAGGACACTCCAACAGTAACGGGGTCTCATGCCCTAGGCCAACCTTTTCAACTAAAACATTAAAAAGTCGTAGTAGCTTTCCTGTCAATTTTCAGCATGGTTCTTAAATTTTGCAAAACAATCTTAGTAACTCTGACAACATAAACCATTACTCTTCGCCAAAAAGGCGGCATTATCTCCCAACAAGTACAACAAAATAAAATAAAATCAAAAGAATTTACTGGTCACACCCGAGCTTTACTGCAAATTTTGGTTGTGCAGTCTCCTTCATGCTTTCCAGATTCTGAAGCTCTTGGGAGACTTGCAATGCCTCATTTACAAATCATGATCACTTGAGTAGTTATCAAACAACTTTGTAATGATTAAGTGGTAGTTAATTTTGATGTTCAAGAAAATTGTGATTATAAAGTCACAACATTGAAAACTAAAATCCCTTTGGGTTCTCTCGTTTGTTGTTGGTGGATGTAAGGTTGTTAGTCTGAAAACCAAGTGTTCCACCCCCAGTGCTCTATCTACCTTTGTATTGCTGTCTCTATCTACCTTTGTATTGCTGTCGTATCCAACTCTCCATTTCAATATTATTCTATTCGCGTGTAAACCATGAATCTCATATGACTCATTCGCGTAAAGACGTCCCTGAGTTAATCCCATGAATCTCACATGACTCATTCGTCATTGAATTGAGTATGAATCTCTCGTCATGTTCTTCTTCTATCAACACATGTCCTGCTTATTGTCCAATACCATTCCACAAAGCAAAGACCAATCCGTCTCAGTGCCATCTGAGTTAATGTTGTCTAATACCACAACCTTAATCCATGGTTCTCCTAGCCAACTCCCAAGTCTATCGATGGACAAATAATTCATACACAAAAGGCTGCCAGGTATACCATATTCAAGGCAGCCATGTATAAAGGACATCTGAATTCTGAACCACACGTGAAGCAGCTATGATTCAGAGCAACTTAGCAGCTCAAACTCCTACCAGAATGCATATGAAGCAAAAATGTTCGACAATTGAAAAAAAGTTAAGAGCATAACAGACTATATAATATTTGAGCAAGTGATTTCCAAGAGCAGGTCTACCAACATGCCTAAATGCATGAAAAATAGCCAAACAAGGCTTTCGCCACCCTAGGCTCTTCTTCGAAGTGATCACTGTAGAGTCTTACTCTCAAGTACAACCACACCAAGATAGCACAAGCCAACTAGGCAACTTCAACTGATAAGTACATGATGGGAAACAAAATGAAGATTCAATAACATACTATTAAGCCAACAATCTACAAGAGAATTGACCACAAATAACATACTATCAAGACAATTATTTACAAGAGCAGTTAGCCTAGGGTAACTTCATAAAACTTCAAGACTCAAGACATCCCCCAGGGAACTATTGCCCAAGGACTAATCATCTCCAGGAAGTTTCTGATGCCTTGCTAGGTGGATTCATTTTACATCTCATGCACCAAACATTTACAAAGTGATTCAAGTCTTAAGCCATCAAAAACCAAATGGAACATTTATAGATATATCTTCATCTTAATTCAAGACTAAAATATTTATATCATCACCAAAGATGCATAATGAACAACACAGAAGATTTGACAAAATAAAATTTATTAGAATAGCCTAACTGAGAGGAAGTTAGTGCCATCCAGAGTTAACTCATAATAGTGCACATTTAACAGCAACATAAACTTACATATATGTGTGTGCATAACATAACAAGAATTGACCCCCAAACATAAAAGTGTGTCCAAAGTGAATCACCTGTCAGACAAGGAAGTTATTTAAGAAAACATCTGGGATCAAAAAACAAGTTATCTCTTATGTTCTTCTCCAATTTGTCGTAGTAATTGAAAAAATAACACCAAAATCACATTTCAAACAAATTTGATGAACTAAATTTCTATACCCCCTTATCTATTCACATAGCAACGAGTCCTCTTCATCAGCAGCACATGCACCATACATATATGGAACAAACTCATAAGAGAACCAACTTAATCTCCCTCTGCATCAGAATCACATACCTATATGAAACGTATTATGAAAATAAGAGTCTATTGGTAAGTAAACACGCAAGACACACAAAAAAGAGGCCCAACATCTTCAAGGAAAACAGGTACTCATCCTAAAACCTTGCGATCATGCTACAAGAACGAGCCAACTTAAATGTCAGGCTGCCTCCATCCAAAGATGCTTCCCCTTCGACAGGATCACATTCATACTGCTTCCTACAACCTGGACATCGCCCATCCTGCTCGAGAATCCTCTTGTGGCAGAAAAGGCAGAGCCTGAACCCACATGAACAAGGGACAAAACTCGAGTCTGTGATATCCAAGTCTTCGTAACATATTGGACAAGAAGATGGTGCAGAAATAACACTTTTACAACCCCATGGATTTCCTCCGCCACCATAATGCCGGTCAGAATTCATGGGGAAACTGTGCTGCTTTGATAAAGTGGGCAGACTCTGAGGCCGAAAAGCATCATCAGGTCTCCACGCCCTACAATTTGCTGGAGCTCTCTGCACAATTCCTAAACACTCAGGCCCTGGCATTGAAACAAAAGTACCTGAAACAGACTGGTTGGTTGATTCTGGCAAAGGGGAATCCATTTGGGCCACAATTTCATTCCCATGCTTGGAAGGCAAATCTGAATCAAAATTAGGGTTATGCTGTTCTTGCTTGTCATCGGTAGCAGCTAAAGCATCAGCAACGGCCTCCCAATCATCCAAGCACCCATCATCGCCTTCTTCATCTTCTTCCGTAATGCATCCTGAACAACACCCACCACTGCTACTGCTGCTGCTGCTACTACTACTGCCACTACTCCCAGTAAAATTGGTCCCAGAATCATTACCTCCTAAGACACTACTGGCGTGACTGGTGGGACTGTTCGAGGGTGACTCTGAATCACTGTAATGGTTCATCAATCCATCATTCTCTTGACCACTCGGATTAATTTCCCAATTCTCCATCGATCGACCCTTCTCTTTTCCCACCTGAACCACCGACGATTGATTCCCTCCACAGCCGCTCGATTCTTCCTTATCTCCCTTATTCCTCACTGTATAAAACCCATCCCCAAAAATTAGGCAATCACTCAAAACAAAGAATAACAGAAAATCCCACACATTCACAAAACTCTGCATGTACGTATCTACTTATATATAAACCTAGACAGACAGGTAATATAATTACAATAAACGAGAATACACACATACATTTAGACACAGAAAAAGAGATCTTTAACATACCATGAGAAAGCCACTGCTCACGACGAGCATCAAGCTTGCATTGCTTCAATTTGGCCGACCTATTCGCCTGAACACAGAATCGATAAAACAATCCATCAAAAATCAATACAAAAATTAAAAAATAAAAATAAAAATCGTCAAACAAACAGATAAAGATAACGAATTGTAAGAATGATTATCAAAATTAAATAGCAAATGAAATCGATTTATTCATATGCAGAAAGAAACACAAACAAAAACACATACGTAAAGAAAAAGAAAGACAGAGATTGAAAGCTAACCCTCCTTTTCTTGGCGAAATCTTTGGGGTTAGAGACCACCATAGGGATAGAGGCGTTGGGGATCGAATCAGAAGCCATAGCTGAGACAATTGGAGTCGAAGGGAAGGGATATGGTAACGTCTGGTTGAAAAATATCTCAGTAATCTAGAGAGCGAAAGCGATAGATATATTTAGTTGTAGAGAGAGAGAGGTAGAGGGTAGAAGACGAATGGATAACGGAAACTCTTCTGCTTTGCTCGACCTTAAGAATCGAAGAACGAAGAGTTTTACCACTGACTCTATATATAGTAGTCCAGTTACGATACTGCCCTTGGTTTCGATCTAATTTTCCGTGTTGCCCCAACGTCGAAGAAGCGAAAATTTGGTGGAAATTCGACCACGTTTGTTACGGGCTTGAAACGGTGGCGTTTGGTTAGATGGCGCTTTACTGACGAACTTGAAACGGTGGCGTTTGGTTAAGGTTAAAATCTGACGAAACGACCACGTTTGTTATGGGCTTTAGTTGTTTACTTGGGACCTAAGTACTGGCTCCGCGTCATTGGTAAAATAGTAATTACCTAGAATTTACGGTAAATTACATTGACACCCCCTGACATTTGATTTTATTACACGAATACCCTTTTACATTTCCAAAATTATACTGAGACCCCACAAAATGAATGTCGTTAACAGAACAAACAAAAATACCATTTTACCCTCATATCCCAAGACCTAAGCCCAAGATCCAAGACCTTTTGCCCCTAAATTTTCATCGTCTCTTTTGCCCTCAAAACGTTGAACCCACACCTCTCTTTCTCTCTCTCTAAACTAAGGAAGGAAGACAACACAGCCTAACTCCACGACCTCCCACCACTGTTGGGAATTTAATTAAGACCTCAACCGACCGACATCCCACCGGAGACAATGTAGATCCATCAACATTTGATCTCCGATTGGATATCTTTACCTAGGGAGAGGTAGTGTGGAAGTGGTGGTTTTAGGTGGATTTTGAAACTCTAGCCTCTGCGATGTAGTGGCGTTGGTTGATACCTCTCCCCCACTGTTTGCTGGTGCTGTTGGGTACAGATACACTATTGCAATAGAATTCACGATGGCGGTGGTGGTGGTGGTGGTGGGTCTGGCTGTGTTTGAAAGTTTTGGCAAGTCTGACTAGGTTTAGAAGTTTTGGTGAGTTTAGGTGGTGGAATCGATGGTGATAGGTGGTGATGGGTGGGTTTAGGTGGTGGAACTGGTGATGGGCCAGTGATAATGGGTGGGTTTAGATGGTGGAACCGGTGATGGATCGGTGGTAATGGGTGATAGGAGTAAGAATTTATGTAATTAGATAAATAATAAATAAAAATAAAATTCATATGGTATAATAGGATAGGTAATTATTAAGATTTAAAAAAAATGATTAATTTTTAAACTGTACTAATAATCCCAAATTGATTAAAAATTAACTTATTGATGTAATGGTTTGGGTAAATTTGTAGGGTAAGAAAAATATTTATTTGAATTCTTAAACTTAATTTTGGAGGGTATTTTTGACATTCTAGGAATCATTATTGATGACATCAGTTTTGACTGTTAATAATTATAACATCTATTAGTTAGAAGGGGTATGGTTGTTACAAGTATTAAATGTCAGGGGAGTATATTGTTATTTTTAAAGTGTGAAGGGGTGTCCATGTAATAAAATTAAATGTAAGGGGGTGTCAAGGTAATTTACCCTAGAACTTAAATTTATTTTTTTGAATTTAAATAACATTACTAATATTTTGCTTACCAAATTTTTTATCCCAAGTGATGTGACACACTCTCTATCGTTGAATATTAATGGTATTCACTTATTTGATGGTGAAATATATATAACATCACTTGAAATAAAAAAAACTTAATAAAAATTCTTGATCAACATAACATTTTTGAAATAACATAAATATTTTGATGTACCACAATAACTTTCACCGATTTGGCTCCTTTCCAATTTTCATATACTTTGGAGAATCCCCGATTATTTTGGAATGGTAAATTAACGACAAATCTTATCTTATTCACAAAAATATCCTAAGTTTTTAAAATTTAAAATAAGCTGAATTTGCTAAATAGGACAAATCATTATAATTTTGTTTGATTGATGGATTGTCTAACTATTTTGTAACTGTAGAGAAGTCTAGACCAACTTTCACCAAAATGTATAACCATGTTCAATATGGGGCAAGTGCTCATTCATCGGAGTAATACATTAGTAGTTTGAGGCGAGGTCACGAGATATTTAGCTTTTATGAATATTTTAGTTTTTACTTGAGTAGTTTGCATTTGACAGGACGAAAGAGGAGATTAATCGAGATGCACATAAATTGATCCGGACACCCTAAATCATTAAACCAAAAAAAGGGGAAAAAAAAATTGGTTAACTACAAATGCTATCCAATGAGCTTATACATAAATTTGGTTATTTCGTTCAGTTATACACTTTTTGATGTCTTCAATCACTGCGGTAATTTCTTGTGACAGCACCTCAATCACTTAAACGAGGTGTGTTTGTTTTGTATTTTGTTGCTTTCCTATGAGATTAATTGCAAGTATAATAATCCGGTAATGCACATATATAATTGTAATGTTTATGTACTAAGATACATATCATTTTTCTATAAAATGATAGCAAGACAAGCTGTGTTATGCAAATATTTATATAATAAAGTAGTTAAATTTCTTTTCGCGGCTCAAATTATTTGAAAAAATATTGATCTGACGGTCATAATACGAAATTTCCTTCCCCTCCCTCCTAATTTTTGGAGCTAGACTTTTATTCATTCCACAATTTTAAGACTCTTATTTCTCTTATAACTATCTATCTTATACGACGCATTAATTAGATCGTTAATTATAATTCTAATTAAAGATTATTTTTAAAATTTTAACATAAACAAATAGACCTCAAATATAGATTTTTTGCGTTAAAACGAGTTGAATGACTATAATATAAATCATATTTTGCATTAAAATAAAAATACTATAATATTCGAATGGTATAATAGACAAATAACATATATGTAATTTGTAATATATGTATATTAAGGGAGATAGCATTATATATCTGGAGCTTTTCATAGCTCAAATTATTTTAAGATTATTGATCAAACAATTGAAATTTCTCCTACAAATTTTTTTTCTGTCAAAAAATTATAAGAATTCTTTTATTTTACTAGATTATTGGTTCGAAGTGATTATAATTACGATTCAAATTGAGATGAATTTAATTGTCGAGAATAAAGTATATATTCTTACTGAAACTTAATTTTATTTGAATTTTACGAGTATTCAAGTTGAAGTCAAATTGAAAGTGATTGTAAAAGTAATAAAGAATAACTAAATTAAAAAAAAAAAGTTATGGCGTCAAAGTGAACGAAAATAAATAAAAATTAATTTGTAAGTTTAAGATAGAAGTGTTAATTGAGTAGAACTTAAATTCAATGTTCGATTTGACATAGTTATGATTGGGACTTGAATTGAGTTGAATTTAACTATCGAATATAAAGTGTAAATTTTTGCTTAAACTTAAAAAGTGGGGTTACTCTCGCTTCAAATCTCTATTCTCACCCCGTTTAATTTATCATCATCAAACTATTAAATCCACTTTATCTATACCCACCTCATTATTAACTAAGCTCACCCCATGCAACATACAAACCCTTTAAAAAGAAAAGAATGAAATAAGAAAAAAAAAAAAAGAAATAAAGAAGCAAACTAAAACAAAAAAGAAAAAAATATCAAGCAAAGATTAAAACAATAAACAAAATTACAAAACACAAAACCACAAGACATAAAACCGGACATGAAAAAAAAGTATTAAGCACAAACACAAAATTTAACAAGAAAAAAAAAGTATAGATGTAAAACCAAAATAAAATTAAAAAAAAAAACAATCTGAAAACATACATATATATACACACATATAAATTCTAAATAAAAAATTATTAAACTTGATAGAGATATCAAAACATACCGAAAATAATGAAAATTCATACAACAAACAGGAAATCAAATAAAGAATTAAATTGAGAAATAACACTAACTTGTATCTCATTAGAAAAATTTATATTGAAAAAAATACTTTTGTGAGTCATGAGATGAAGTAGAGAATGAAACTCTAATTATGACAATATGTAAGGTGAGTTTACTTATTAAATGTGGTGTATGTAGTATGGAGTAAACTTAGTTGCTAATGAAGTTGATATAAAAAGGGTGGACTTAGTAGTTTGATAATGAGAAATTAAATAGAGTAAAAATAAAAATTTGTGGTGGTCGGAATAGCCCCACTTAAACTTAAATTGAATTGAATTTTTATGAATATTTAAGTTGAGTTTAAATGAAAACTGATTTTAATTTTTTAACAAAATTTTTTACATTTACGAGAATTCATGTGAAACTTTTAGATGTTTTCTCACAAAAATTACGCGAACTTACATTGAAAAAACGGTACAGAGATAATGTTATTAACTTTAGGTAGAAACATGTAGAAAAAAAATTAGTTATATTTTTTTTTTTTGAAATTTGAGATAAAGTTTATTAAAAATGTTAAAATTATGGATGTTTCATCAATAATAATTATATGTTTTCAAAATTTTGAATTAATATTTTGTAGTAGTTGTAGCGTAACTTTCATTATATAATATCAATTTGCATACAAATTAAATAATATTAATTTGATTGTTGTATTATTAAAATTGTATTATATATTGCCTTTATTTATGAAAAAATATTTAAGATTTTTACGAGTAATGCAGTGCCTTTAGTTAAGGGCAATTACTAGTCTATATAATAAAATAGCTTATAATTCAAATTTTAAATAATAAATAAAATGACTTTTGTTTTTCACAGTTCAGATCGCTTTAAATTTTACTTTAAAGTTAATTTAACAGCTAATATTAACACCCAAAATTTAATAGGAAAAATAGGCTCATAAGAGTGTGTTTGAAATGACTTTTTAAAAGTACTTATAGGAATTATTTTTCATAAGTACTTTAAAAAAAAATAGTATTTGAAACCGCTCCACCTTTACCTCCACCACCACCACTGTCGCCGTCGCCACCACCACTGTTGCTGCCATCACCATCGCTACCCCAGCCACCATTGTCGTTGCCCTCGCCACCACTGCCATCGTCGCCACCACCATCGTCGCCACGGTTATTGCCACCTACCACAACCATCATCGTCTTCTACCACCACCATTGCTGTCCACCACCTCTCAC